GCCAATACGGCAGAAAATCGCGTCGATTATGGCACTCCAGCAGGCAACTCTGTGATTGTGCGTGAAAACGAATGAAGTTAGACCATGAAAATGTGTTTCCGCTTTTTGTCCGCATTCTGAGAAAAATCTTCCGCCCGTTTCCGCATTTTGAGATTTTTATTCCGCATTTCTGATCTGAGGATCTGGGAACTCTGTATTAGACTCTAACTCTGCTGCACAAAGATTAGCAAGTCTACTGACCTGGAAAGATCCCTAGCTGATATCCTCCGATTTCGATGATCTTTTGCCGATAGATACTATATGATGTCCTAGTCTTAACCGCCAAAGGATTTGGTTGTATAGCTCTTCTTTCAAAAGTTATGAATTTTTTAAGATTGGCCGCTGGAGATCCTAATTCATCATTGTTTACTTTCCTCATCTACATGTGTGCTGGCCAGCCAAAATCTTTTTAAACACCTATTAATATAGTGAAAAGTGGTCTTTTCAAAATGAGACGTTGCTGAGCTCTGTGCGATATCCCCACCAAAAGTCATAAGCATTTTTCTAAGAGCACCTTAAACTCTGCTCTTCTACTTTTCTTTCATTCCTCTACATCGATTTGACTCGTAGAGGTAAGGGTGAAGCACAGACAGTTACCGTTCCGATTACTGAAGCTTTTCATAATCAGAATACAGAAGAGTTGACACTTATTTAACTTGATTTAGCGCTGAAATGAACTCCCTTCATTCAGTCACAGATGCTGTTGCCATGTTTTCATAATCCTCATAATCCAAATATACATGCACATAATCGTTATTAGATAGTCTACAATGGTTATAGAAAAATCGACATGATTCTACATCTCTGAGGGGGTATATCACTCCTTTTTCTGTAAATATACCCAGGTGAAACTCATCTTACAAGAGCATACAAGATCTGCCGTTTTCTTATAAAATCTTGTAACAAGATCTTGTCTTAGGAGGTTGTAAGATCCTGCGGACTTGTATTTCTTTCTTATCGCAAGATCATACGATTCCTTGTTATAAGATCTGATATGATCTTGCAAGAATCGATGACTCATTCTTACCACGTAAATTTTGCTATGATACCGAGTATATATATAACACAGTTCTTATGATAAAACTTAGAATTGCTTTCTTTCTTCGTCTTCACACATCCAATCAGCTGCGCGCAAATAAAATGCATGGCTATAAGGAACGCGGTTAAACACGATCAGGCACATAATCTTATAAGATCTGACGAATTCTTATGAGATCTTGTCACTTCTTGCAAGATCATATGATATCTTATACGATCTTATGAGATCTTACAAGATCTTGTAAGATCATTTTTCTTATAAAATCTTATAAGATTCTTTTACAAAGATATCATACAAAATCTTACAAGATCTTATAAGAAGTCAAAAGGTCTTATCAGATCCATTAAAATAGGTGCTTGGAATAAGATCTTATAAGACCATAGGAAATCTTGATATACGATTGTTCGCCATGGATAACCCATCCCATGTCGACAAAATCGCGGTATTTTTAACAATTAATCATGATTCTTGAAAAATCGCCGATTAATTGGCGATTCCGATGATTTTTCTTTTTTTAAATTAAATGCGATTAATTGTTCATTTTAAGTGATTAAATGGTTATTGTTATTCACCATTTTATTTTGCAGCAAAGTATCTATATAAGAAACACGATTTCAACGAGAAATACACTTCTATTTAGGCCATATTTTTATTTTAGAGTAAAATGGGGTTGTCAAGTCTTCTCGGTGATCCCTCAGAGCTTTAAGTCGAGGAGCCCAGTGAACAGCTGATATCTGGACAACGCCTAAAATCGAGTCATCAGAAAGACTCCGGCTTCATCTGGTGATAAGACCCTTGTTGGGTGATGTACATGTCATTATACATAATAAATAATGAAAAAACAGAAAAAAATATGTATTTCCGAAGATGGATTCGAATTATTATCAAGAAAAAAATTATCAGTTAATCGCGATTAAGCGCACGATTAATCGTATGATTTTTCACGATTAATTGCCGATTTTTATGCGATTTTTAGTACATGAGATAGCATCATAAATCACAATTTGTCCTGTTTATAAAAATGTCAATATTTCTGATTGAAAAAATCCTGATGATGTCTTTTTGATAAAGCATTTGTTTTCGTCTAAACAAACGCGACTACTGCCAGATTACAGAGTATATGAAGTTACTTATATACATAACCTATTCAACCTAACCAACAAGCTGTCAATGAACAAGTTTCAGTTTTTATCCATCCAAAAGAAATGTGGTTAAGATTTTTTCTATAACTTAAAGATAATCTATCTAAATTGTTGTTTTGGCTTAGTTGAATGAAATACCATCGAACGATACGGAATGAACAAAATTATGAAGCATCACTTTTAATGTACAACAGAACAAGATAGTAGTAACAACTATTCATATATCAACTAGTATCAAAGACTGCTATAGCGACAGATTTATGATTTCTGCATTGGTCAATTTTTCTCACCAACGGTACGTTTTCTTTTTTAATAAATTTCAAAGAATGATTTGTAGAGAAAATTAATACCCAAAGAAAAGAAAGAATTAAATAAGATTTACGAGTTTTTCCATGATAGACTTTACGCTAATTAAAGTTAAGATGACTATTTAAACAAATATCTTGTCTTCTGAAAGTCGGAATATGAGAAAGATGTTATGTTATTTTTTCGTCCGGTTTTCCTTTTGTTTTGGTTCTGGTAAGGGTGAATTCTGATTGATAGGAAACAAGAAAAACTGTTGATCGAAACACGATTCTTTAGATCCGCTTTTGAAGCATCGAATCTTATTTACAGTAAAGTATTTACGACTAAAAGAATACAACAATTGTCCATTAGTGTTCTGTTTTCTTCCCTTCATTTAAACTCGAACTACATATCTGAGTGTTTTTACCGATTCTAAATCGTAAAAAATGGACTTTTAGATAATGGATGATAATCTCTATCAGTTTTTGAATACTAACGACTTTTCTCGTTATCTTTCATCCCTCATTACAAATTTTCACTCTCATCTCAATCAGTACAATGATAACACCACTCCTGATTCAACCATTTCTAACAAAACCAGTGATCATACACTGTTAACTGAAATCGATACATTGTCATCATTATTCAATGTCGTTCAATCTCGTCTTAGTGGTTCTGCCGTTGAATTGGTTTGTCAACAACAGAGTGTACAAGTATGGACAGATCTGCTGAAATTAATACGTTTACATGAAAATTGGAGTATAAGTCCAAATTGTTTAAAACTATTGCATTCATGTTTACGTTTTATGAATTCTGATCAACAGAACAGTTGTTTACAGTTTTTAATGAACAGTATTTTTTATTTAATAAATAACGATTACGAACATGATTATAATCAGTGGAATTCAAACCGTCTAAGTGAATTTGTTCACAAAGTACTATTAAATACAAAACTTGACTACATTCCGCTCAACATCGATTGGTTGAAAATTGAAAATTTACTTTTACAACGACAACCTCAAAATGAATTAGATTCAAAACTAGTGATACGATTTTGGTTATTTTATTCAAAAATAAATAACGAATATGAAAAAAAGCTAATATCAATTCTACTACGAACGTTTGAAAGTTTAACTAATTCAGAATCCATTCTATTTATTGAATTGTTACTTGGTTTATTATGTTCCTCATCATCATCACATTTTTTAACCTATTACTCTCATCTTCATTCATTTTGGTTACTAATTCAACGTTCATTGGCGAATAATGACAATGATAAGTTAAGAAAATATGCATTATATTTATTGAAATATGCACTTGCAACTAATGAAAAAGAACGAATAGATTTGAGAAATGATCAACAACACAAATTAATTGTGATTGATAATAACAACACAAAATTGAAACAATTTTGGAATGAATTTATTGTTATCTATGAATGTGTAGAAAATGCTACTGTTCATTTAATAAAAACAGTTTTGTCAAAATTTGATATATTGTTGAAAATTACTATCAATGAAGGTATATGAAGAGTCCAGAGCTAGCAGAAAAGAAGTAATGGATAAAGCAGCTAGTACTATTGATAGTAAATATTCTTTCCAATTTTTATTTTTATATTTAGATCTTAGTTTCAAGTGGCTGTTTATTTTACTACAACGTCTTTTTATAAATCCAAGTCAACTATTATCACGATGGATCGTCTACTGGTATTTAAATATACGCGTTGATGATCGACTATTATGTGATGAACAAATTGAAGAGGTAATGTTAGTTTAAGAGATGTTTTAACAAATGTTTTATATTATGATGTTTATCCTTTCAGTTTTTTATCAACGTTGTTCTTGATTGGTGTTCAAACGCATTTTTATTTGCAAAGTAAAATTCTCTCCTATTTTAAATTATTTTCTGTTTTATTATTAATTTTTGATTTTCTCTATTTTAAGAGTCGTAGAAGATAATACACTTTTGGAACATTCTTCAGCAACAATATCAAACAGTTTGGAAACATATGTACAACGATGGTTAAATAACAGAGAAAATAAAAGTACGGTAGTATTCGTTTTTTAGATTTCTATCTGACTACTCTGTTAAAACTAGATAACGGTATTTTTGTTGTTGTTGATATTAATAAAATTAAACATCTGTTCAAATATGATCCTAATCATGAGATGTGACTGTTTGTTGTTTTCTATAGAATGTCTGATAAAGTTCTTTTATCTAGAACTAATGTTCATGTGCTGTCGATTTTTAGAAGTCTCGCTTTTGCTGGATCTCTATCAGACACTACTCGTTACACTTTGGAGAAATAATCAACAAAAATTAGAATTATTTTGAAAAAAATTGTGAAGTTATCAAAAGTGATCTTATGGACGTAGAATTCTACATCCATCTGTAAGCAATTAGAGTTTGAACATCGCATTATATAGTTAAATGAAGAACGTTTCAATGATTGGAAAAACAAAGTTTTTCCTTCTATACTCAGCGGTATACATCCAGTTAGGGATTATAATGATAAATGCGCATATATTCTGAATGACATAGACAAACAATGAGAAATCATGTCATCAGGAAGATGCAGAGTACATACATTCGATCAGTACTGTATATAGTTTCTTGCCATGTCAAGACTTGTTGCATAAAATGACTTTTAATATGAGATCTCAAGATATAAAGCTACAATTTTGTTTAATAGTTTCTATTCAAAAAGAATGAAAAATAGTTGACATTGTTGAGGTATTTTAATTCATAAAACAATAAATTATCACAATCTAGATTGAAATTCTATTAACCATACTATTTGTATATTTTCTATTTAGGTGCTGTTTTGTTAAAACTTTTGCAACAACTTCTTATAATCAAATGGTCTCACAACTCGTTTGTTTATGTCATACGTTCTCTTCGAATGTATTCATTATTGAATTCATCGTTGACCATTTTAACTGATGAACATATAAAATTATTATATCTAATTCTAACAAAGTTATCGACATATGCTCCCATATTACGTTTATCCATTTATTCATACATCTTGGATATTGTTCTTAATCTTGTTGATTGGACAAATATTTCATTTTTTTGTTTATTAAATCTATTTTCATTATATGATCGTCAATTATTTCTTTTGAATGATAAATATGAATCTGTGATACTTTTTCATTGTTCAAAATTATTTTCTGTTGATTATTTGAAAATGAAAATTGATGAATATTTAACAATAACTGAAAATAGTTTAAATGAAGAATCATCTATATTTTCATTTGAGACAAATCGACCTCGTCATCGACAAATTGTGTTATTAATCGATTTACTCAGATTTAATAAGAAAGAAGAAATTATAAAGCAAAATTTTGATCATTTATTTGAAAATATCAGAACAGTATGTCAACGACCATATATGTCTAAAGAACGTGTGAATAAATCTATTGAACTTATAATGGGGTTAGACAATGAATTATTTCAAAGTGAATTAGATAAAAATTGGTTAACAACAAATATAAAATCAATTGTAAATGATGGATTAAATTATATCAAGATGGAATTGGTATGTACACAAAAAGAATAAACTTGATAAACAAATTATCAGACATGAAATATATTCTTGTTTTTCTATTGTTAGATTAAACAACCATTAGACGTACAATATTATTCTAATAATGGCTTAGTTTTTATTACATATGCAAAACGGAATGATTTAATTCGGTTTCTTGACGATATAATTTTTCAGATACAAACATTATATGAACATGTAAGTCTTCTTGTTGTTCTCAATAGTAATTTATAAAAACAGTTCAAAGACTCTTCGACTGTCCGTCAAACAAATATAACTTATTTTGCTAGTGATTCAGAGTATAGTTGATTATTGAAATCTTTCTTTTGTATTCATTTCAGAATGGCGTTTGGTATCCGTACATAATTTTGTTTGCCTATTGTATCGAGTGGACAATGAAATATCGATATCAAGAGTTTGTTGATTTACCATTAAGATATAAATCAAAAAGTATTATCGATAATATTTTGGTAATTATACAAAATCATATACCCGCAACAACGTAAGAACAAATTGTATTTCTATCCGTTTTACTGAAAAGATGTCTAATTGTTTATTTTTATTTAGTTCAAAAACAAATAATTTATTATCAATTATGTTGAAAGCAAAATATTTACTCATTTTGAATGATATTGGTCTAAATTCTTCAATTGAAATATCCTCTATTTTCATAGATGATCTTCATAAAGCATCACTCAAAGAATTAAATGTACTTTTTCGAGCATTAGCAAAATTATTACAAACAGATGTAAGTTAGCTTTATTTCATTTAACATGTTTCAACAGATAAAATTTCATTTAGCGTCCAGTTGATGAAAAATGTAATTTGCTTAGTAATTCACTATCAGTAATGAATGAATTAGATCATCGTAATGCTTTATTTTGGCCAAGTTTATCAGCTCTTTGTCTATCATTAATTGAAATAATAAATAATCCATCCTATGAATTATTGTTAACAGAGGTATAGAAAGATAATTTATTTTCTACATGATTTTGTTTGTAAAGTTTCATTTTTGTTACAGTGGTTTGATAATGTTTTGGAACGTAGCGATCGTATATCAGGCATAATTAATATTGTGTTAGAGGCATTAGTTAAAATTTGGCTCAAACAAAAACATGTTCAAACTTGTTATTTTCCATTTATAATCAATTGTGTCGTCTTTGGAGATACGTTTTTAAAAGAGAAACGGTATGATATATTAGTTAATGCTTAAGTATTAACGTTATTTCATGCAGTTACCAGACAAGTTTTCTTTCTATGTTTCCTTACAATAGTTAGGTTTAGGCGTTTCGATGCATGGTTTTGACAGATTTCTAAAATGCTGTTGTTATGACATATTTCGTTACTCACTTTCTCGCTTATTTAGCATTTGATCACATTTATATCCCTCACCGCCGTTCCATCTCACTTCTGTTAGTCAGGATGTTGATATAATCAATGGTACCGCGCATTTATATAGCAGCACATCGATAATCCACACAGTAACAACACACCAAATCTTACCATATGAACACATTACATCATATCGAAAAGTTTCTCCATCCCATTTCACATTTCTTGCGCACATGAACTCACACCACTTTGTAATACCAAAGAAAATTACAAATTTAACCCTTTCAGGACCGGTTTAATTTTTATATATACAGTGCTGTTCAAAAGTTTAAGACCTTTTTATTTTGCAATATCTCGGCTTCCCTGACAGATAGAGACTTCATCCTTCCGTCAAAAGAAAGCGATCACTAAACTCTACCATATGTGAAAATATCGTTAAGTTTCAAGTTATTTTGGCTGAGTTAGGCAGTAAACAGTATTTTCCTAAAAAAATGGAAAAAACGCATCTTCAGTATTTCGTTTTTCCTAACCAAGAGATTTTCGACAAAAAAATTCAAATGACAATGTCTCGATAGAGAATTTAAAGAGCTATCTACTGACAAAAACATTTTTGACTTTATCGATTCTGTCTTCGTACTCAAAATCCTCTTTTACTGAGAAGGACCGAAATTTTCGGAAAAACTTAGATTTCTAACTCAGAACTAAATATTATTCAAATGTATTATACATCAAAAGATAGAGCGCCAAAAACTGCATAAGATGATGTATTTAAAATTTGATTATGATCGATTTTTGAGGGACGTTTCTTCAAAAGAAAGTTTTGGAAAACACGGCTTATTCTGATTTTTAACGTTTTAATGACGCTTTAAAGCGTCACCGGTCCCGAAAGGGTTAAATATTCCATGTTAGTAACTAATGAAGCGATACAGACTCCCCCATTAGCTTTAACAGTGCTCCACGTATACAGATTCATCTCTGTTCAACTGTCGTCATAAGCGGCACAGATGCCAACGTTGGGCGTGCCAGTGCTCCGCGCACCATACTATGGTCTATCTATTTGGTGAATTCACATTCTTACTGTCAACAAACAGCACTTCTTTGTATATGTTGACACTGAGTGCTCTTGATGCCAATAAATCAGTGGACAGGAAGTATGTCCTCATTTCATAGGATAAAAACGCGCAGATGTAACTGGCATGAATAACTCAAAATTACTTTTCACTTATACCATCTATTTTCTTCTCTTGTTTTTTGTATTCTAGCCAGCAACATTTCGTCGAATTATTTTTAGAAGATGATAACTCAATAAAATCTTTAATATCTAAAGCACATTTTACACCGTACGTTTTTATTTCTTTCACTCTTTATACGACTAAAAAGTTTTTCTTAATATTTCTTATAGCGAATATCGTTATGACTGTAATGTTCGTGTTATAGTTCAACTATTTCTTCTTGAATTATTTCCATCACTAACTGAAGATCAACAATCAAATTTTATATTAAAATTAATTGATAAACATCGTCAGATATCGTCTCGTGAACGAAAACTTCGTTATTGTATGAATTCAAGTGAACATCGACAGACACTTCGTTTATTACAATGTTTACTATGTTTAACAAGTATCATTAAAAACTCTGTATGTATGCCACTTTTCAATATGAATAGGTCGGTATCAGATTGTTACTATCATTTTAGAATTTATTGAAATTGATCTATGAGTACAGTATTGAAACATTGACCATAGAAAATGAACCATCATTACGAATTATTGCTGAATGGATTATTACGCGATTTTTAATAACAAAACAAGCACATTTGACCGATTTATATGAACAATTGAGGATGGTTAGTTAGTAGTTTTGACAATCCATTGTCTATAAGTTAATGAAAAATATATACCGTTTTATATTTTAGGCTCATAAACAACGTGTTGGAAGTTTATGTTCTTGGTTATCAGTTGTATCACATCTGGCATTATTTTTAGAAGAAAATCGCCAAGTAATCCGTGTAAAAAATGTAAATATTCTTAGAATTTACTTTTTTTCTTCTCCCTTTTTTTAGATCAATTATTTTACTACTGTATTTGAATTGATTCTTCCACTATTAATTCATTCCAATTTTCATGTACGCATATTTTCTTGTGCAACATTAATGAAATTATTAAATCAAATTGAAAATTTACAATTAGAAAATGCAACACAATATAATAATTTCAAATGGATAAAACAATGCGATCCTAAATCAGAGTAGGCTTTCTTTTTATTCTTCTTAGAAATAGAATCTTATAAAAATTTTACTTATGGATCATTATCGTTTCAACAGTTCCTATTTTTTGAGAATTAATATTTGTGAATAAACCATCGTACAACAAAATTTGTAATCATTTGCTCCCTTACGGAAGATAACTGTAAAGTAGTGATTAATGTTATACTTCGCTTTATAGTTGGATATTAATCAAATTTTGTTCTACATGTGTTTTCACAAAATGAGATGAAATAACTGAACAAAAAATAATGTGTTCATATTTAACTTTACTATTCTTATTTTTCTTCTACAGAATAGTTCAAATTATTATTCAGAGTATTTCTTGTTCGCTTGACTGAATGCTGCAATTGTTCCTTGAGAAAGTATAAATATCTCACTATATGAGGGTGTAAACTGTTAATTGCCGATAGGTAGAACACTCACTTGTTCGATTATATCAGAATAAGTTTGTAACAAATTACAAGTATCGTATCACAGATCTGTTAAAGACGAAGAGCTGTAGTGTTGTGTGAATGTAAATATTTTTTTGACTAGTAGAAAAAACAATGTTTTCTCACACTTCACTTTTTTTCCATAAATATTTAAGAAAAAAGTAACGTGTGTAAATTTTTTTCTATTGTAGACTTGGCCGCTATGCATCAAAATTGGAAAGCATGTTTTTATATAAATTTGATCCAATTCGAGATTTTTCTCTTGAAACAATTTATTCCATATTACCTCGATTATCTTTAATTGCTGATGATGAATGGTTAATGCCAGTATGGTTCGAAGAAGGTTTGAAAATATTGTCAATCAATGAACTTTCTATTTCGATCAATCAACAATCATCTATTTTAACTACATGTGAACCAGGAATATGGAAACTAACAGGTAATTCATTATTTAAATCATCTCACTTTGTTCTCTATTAATCGTAATCCTTTTTAGCATCCAGAAAATTAGATGAAAATACATCCAAACAAGATGATACACTATTAGATAATGATTTGACAACAAATGTTCAACGAAAAATTACACCGTGGATTGCTGTGCATCCGGATGAGAATGAAAATGAGTTAAAAAATGATTTGAAACGAAGTGAATTAATTGTTGTCGCTTCATTAATTGACAAACAAACAAATCTTGGAGGTGAATAATTGTTTAAATTTAACGAGATACTGCCTCAGATTAGATATAGTTTTTTTCTTTATTGATGTATAAATTTTATCTATATTATATTTATTACAGGTTTGTGTCGTACAAGTGAAATCTTTGGCGTCAAGGAATTCGTTCTTAGTAATATTCGTATATTAGACGATAGTCAATTTTTAAGTCTAAGTATGACAAGTCATCTATGGCTCGATATCAAAGAAGTGCGTATATAATTAATTTATTTGAAATAATATGTAGATTTTTGACTCAAGTTTTGTTTTTTTGTTTAGGTACCAGTAAATAGTCTAAAAACGTATATATCTGAAATGAAATCAAAAGATTATACAATAATTGGTGTTGAACAAACAGTAAATAGTCGTCGTTTATACGAGTATGAATTTCCCGTCAAATCACTTTTATTATTAGGGTGAGAGACGAGAAATTTTGTTTTCTTTTTAATATTTTAACCCTTTTTATCTTTCTATTTTAGAAATGAATGTGAAGGAATACCGGCACAATTGCTAAATCTAATGGATGTTGCTGTTGAAATACCTCAAGCTGGTATCATTCGTTCATTGAATGTTCACGTGAGCGGAGCGCTTGTTATATCTGAATATGCTAAAAGACATCTTTATACACAATAACGAAATTTTCTTGCTGTTTTGTCATTCACACGTTTATTAATAAAAGTTTTTTTATTTTAAACTTTGTTTTTCGTAACAGATGATTATTCTACGAAAGTTCTTTGGTGCGAAAGAGATGAATTATCAATTATAGAAAAACGTTTTGTTTTCTATAATTTGTTCCTGTCAGTTGTGTCAAAGACATAGTGCAGTGCAAGTTCGTACGGTTGGCCTATTTTTCTGCTGTATGTGTAGTAAACTTGTAACAATGAATAGTACAATGATGACTATGTCTTAACGTTAGTTACTAGCAAATATTTATTTCACAAATTGCAAGAAAATGAACACGTTGAGTAGTGTGTTGACTGGAGAAGGCGCATATTTTAATCATCAATTAGTTCTTTTTATAGTAAAATTATTATTTTATTTAAGATTTTTTTTGTACAATGTTAAATCCATCGTTAGTATCTCCGAACAAAAAATGTATTATGTGCAAACTAAATACGATTAAGTATACATGTCCACGTTGTCAAATAAAAACGTGTTCATTAGATTGTTGTTTAAAACATAAAAAACATTTTAAATGTAATGGTCAACGAGATCGTGTATCATTTAAATCTTTAACAGATATGAATGATCTTGATTTATTATCCGATTATCGTTTACTAGAAGAAATAAATCGAAGAGTAGAAATAACAAAACGAGATCATTTTATAAAATCTGGTCTTAATGAACAAACACGTTATCAAAAATTAATACAAACAAAATTGAAAACAGAACATCAAATTCAAGTATTATTTCTACCAAAATTCTCGACAAAACATAAATCGAATAAAATGTGGATGGATAAAGTGACAAATGAAATATATTGGCATATTGAATGTAAATTTTTTATTAATGATGGTAAGTTATCTGTAGATTATTCTAGTATATGAAGAAAAGAAATGAGTTTGTAATCGATGGTAAATAATTTTGTTAACTTTAGAGTTCTATGAATGGACAACTATTCGTATTCCAACTTCGAAAACTACACTGAAACAAATATTATTAAAATTTCATTCTGACTTGATTAAAACTCATCTTTATGTGGACATTAGTAGTGATAATGAGAAAGAATTAAGTGAAAGATTAAATGAATTATCATCAAGTGAATTACAATCGTTGAGAGAAAAGAATTTTTTCAAAGATTTGAATCAATTATCGGTATGGATTGAAAATTTTGGTATAAAACGAAAAGGATATGGACATTATGAAGAAAAATCACAACATATTGATTTTAAAACCGATACTATTGATAAAATATTTAAAGATCGAACTATTATTGAATATCCAACTCTATTTATATCATTGACAGATGATACAGAACTCATGAGAAATAAATTAAATAAAACAGAACGAACTGATGATATCAGTATGAAAGAAGAAGGAGAGCTTGAATCAGAAGAAGAAGAGGAGAAAAAGGATAAATCTTAGTTCGTTTTGTACATTTATTTTTATTTTGTTACCTGTAATTGTTTATGATTTCTTTCTCTGTATGTGTCATATATATTTTATTATCTTTCTTATGATTATTATTGTTAATAAAAAACATCAACAACTATTAGATTTTGATTTGATTCTAGTGATGATTAATCTTTTCCTAATTTTTCGTTTTAATTGATATTATTTTAACATCTATCAAATACTAAAAAATCATTGCATTTTTTCAATCCAGACATAATAATCAGTCAACATGTAATGAAATGTAAGGTGCCGGCAATGCGAAATTCAAGTAAAAAATTTTTTTTTGCCGTTTTTTTTACATCATTTGATAGAGTGAGAATTGCTGACCACGAAAAACAACTTTTTACCTTACACAAATATCTTTTTCAGATCGGAAAATACGAAAAAATCGAAGTATGTCGTATTTTTCAAAATACGCCTTATATTTCGGTTCGTGCTTTCTCTGAGTTTCTGAAAATATTTTTTTCAGATTCAGCATCAAAAACTGAGCCTAGACG